AAAAGACGACATAATTCATTAGACGACATAACTTGAAAAAGTGATCACTGCCGGACCTTAATAATAATTAGACTAGATATTTGTCAACGTAAGTGCGTTATCGGGAGCATCGGGCAACAAGACACCTGCTTCCAGTCACTGGTAATCAGATGAAACAGGTATCCTTGAGTTATTAAAGTTTATTTTTTACTTTCTCACGCACTCATAGCAGAATCTGTCTCGCCTAAACTAAAAAATTCATCATCATGGAGCGGTCGGGCAAATAATGTCGGGCTTCGATAAAAGAAATAAGCTCGGTTCAAGGTTCATGTTGATGGAATTAAGCAGTGGGACGAGTTTTGTTCGGGACCCTATTTTATAAAATCTTTCAGCCAAAATTTTTTATAATTGTCATCAAAAGGTCGCAATGGAAGCTTTTCATCAATTATATAGTGACAATTGTACCACTAGTTTAGAAACTTGTCCTAGTAATTGGTAACCGCACCAATGCTATCATGGTGTCATTCCCAATATATGAATGGAATCTCAAGTGAAATATAACTAAAACTTTCGTATAATTGCAAACATTCTAAATTAAAATGGTCTAAAGATATAATAATGAGTATTATTATGAACATTTTTGACATTCACGCGTTGCTAATGTCTTATCGGTGGTTGAAACTTCCGTCAAAACTTGCGCTGCGCTCAGGTGAAATACTTGGGACGCAAGGAGATACGAACAGTTAAGTATACAGACAGACGACGGTATATGAGCAGCACATATAATCTGATAAATCCAAGTCTAGTGATTCCTTTGCGGAACAGGATTTGAAGAGTATTCTCTCATTTGGAAAGTCATCTGTAGGCTTGAAGTTAATAAGTTTCGAAAGCCTAGAAGAAGGTCAGCTAAGAAAATGTCGTCCAAGCACCCAATAATAATTAATTTTTCTTCTTGTGAAGAAGAGTACATGCACGGGTCATTGGTCGATTTGATCCGATTTCATTAATTTATCAATTCACAGAATGAGTAGTAGTAGTAGTAGTACTGTAGTATTAGTAGTACAATGGTTTGCTAGCGCTTCAGCTACCAAGCTATTTCGCACCGGAGGTCAAAAGTTAACATCGCAAGCGAGGCGGAAGGTCTCAATTATTCAATATCTCATATTAATCATCACCCACAAGGGACGGAAGATCTCAATTGTCCAGCTCGCCGAGGCTGGCTCGAAAGAAACAGCGTTAGCATCTCAAAGAGACGAAGTGACAAGGAGGAACTGGTGAAAAGCAACAGAAACGAAGACACTCGAAAAAGAAGTCGCTTACACGGGACGTCGGCCGCCCGCACGAGAGAGACAGAGAAGGGAAATGCAAGGAATCCTACCTACATAATAACTTAATGTAAGGAGTCCTACCTACATAATAACTTAACCCCACAACAGAAACCTGCAGTCAGACACCGCGAGCTCAGCAGTGGGGCGCTCAGGAACAATCCCCCTAGGAGCGCGAAATCCCATAGGACTTTTTACGAGCACAGACACACGTCAGACGTCCCCCCTGAGGGGAATTCACAGAATGATGGTTGATTGTTTCAGTTCATTTGAACTTCGGTCCCATTCACGGACACTATTTTGTTTATCTATTATTTATTCTGTATAATTCTCCATTAAAGAAAGCAGTAGTTACATCAATTTGATGAATCATTCGTAATATAGCTCATCAGGTAGGAGAGTATTATGTACATCAGGCAGGGTAGTATTATTTACATACCGCAGGAGAGTACTATCTACAGTGAGCGTAATGCTTGTACTGCAGTAGGTTGGGTTGCAAAATGTACAATATACTGAATATTAATATTACAATGACAATAATTTACCACTATAATAAAAACAATTTTGTTCAAGAAAGTTATAAATAATATTTTGCTAAATCTACAGTGATTGGACATACATTTTTAGCAATTACCGCTAAAACAGAGTAAAATTTTTCTTCATGTGCGAGATTCGAGGGAGTTTTCCCACTGGAGTCTGGGCGTGGGAATTCTTTGGTCCGAGGGATCCTGTTAGTTTCTGGGTCTCCTCTGTAGATGGCGGTGGGCGGTGCGTTGAGGGGAACCGAGATGGACTGCGTGAGGTGGTTCCATATATGAACCACATACACCGACTTGTTCCCGAGAAGCTTTGAGGACAAAATGTGGTTCCTGTCAGGGTTCACGAACCTCTGATACCTCCACCTGCAATCATGAAACGCAAGAAGTTAGGCAAATCTGTGAATAAATCACATTGTGGAATCGGAAAAACCGGTTTTGCAAGTGTATTGTTATTTCATGCTCATACTAATAACCTGACATTCAAACTCATGCTTCATAATGTGCTTAATCTTGTCTTGTGTGCCAAGATGATAAAAGCGTTCTAAGATCGCCAAACCCAATCTAGCCTCAACCGATTAAACTATGCTCGTAAGTTACATTTTTAATCTTCTCAGTTTCTTAAAATAAGCTGAACACGAACCATGGGATGTTGTAGAAGGCTTCACGAGGCAGCAGTGTCAGGTCCGAGCATTTGCTGCTACCGGTGTATGGCATGACCAAGCCACATCTGCGCATGAAACGGCAATTATGCATCAAAATAAGGAATAAATTTATGTTAAGCAATTTGTACAAAATTGCTGTGCAATTTAAATTCGATTGTACTTTAAAAGTCAAACTTCCAAATGTTCCAAATGCACTCCAGTATCGCTATTACAGCATTTGCCAGAATGTTGCAGTCACTCTCCGTATTAATTAAGCTGCAACTGCTTTCCGGTCAGTGGATTTTTAGACGTCGCACTATAGCGGAGCATCACTCGGGCTGCACTTGCGTTCAGCTCATTGCATTGACCACTCTCGCACTCTCTGTTGTTGTTGCGGTGTAAATAAGAAGAAGTGGAAAAGAACAAGAGGTGGCGCAGAGTGGCCAGAAAAAGGAAGGAGAAATGGAAAAGTCAGTAAGAGATGAAAAGGCGCATTGCGCATGATTTGGTCGGTTATAGGTGACAGGGGGATGTTTAGGGCTGGGGACTCTATGTGCTTTGCTGTATTAGTATCGCTATTACAGCATTTGCCAGAATGTTGCAGTCACTCTCCGTATTAATTAAGCTGCAACTGCTTTCCGGTCAGTGGATTTTTAGACGTCGCACTATAGCGGAGCATCACTCGGGCTGCACTTGCGTTCAGCTCATTGCATTGACCACTCTCGCACTCTCTGTTGTTGTTGCGGTGTAAATAAGAAGAAGTGGAAAAGAACAAGAGGTGGCGCAGAGTGGCCAGAAAAAGGAAGGAGAAATGGAAAAGTCAGTAAGAGATGAAAAGGCGCATTGCGCATGATTTGGTCGGTTATAGGTGACAGGGGGATGTTTAGGGTTGGGGACTCTTTGTGCTTTGCTGTATTTCTCCGAGTTATCTGCCTACGTACGGGGAACGGAGACGAGCGGCTGTTAGCCAGCAGCACGCATTGATCCTCCAGAGCCGTTGGCTCTGGAGGGATCCGTGGATACCTAGCGAAACCAACGATCTTCGCACTGAGTCTTTAAGGTGAGTTCACGGTACTAATCCACAGGAGTTCTTTTGTCTTCATCCAGTATGGAACTAGCTTCCGATCGTCTGAACACGTTCAATTAAAATAAAATGCTTCAACGTCTGATTAATTATTCAAAGTAATATTTGGAAATCTAATTTTACTTAACCATTGTAAATTTAAATGCTCTACATTAAATTCATATGTTCTAAACTTCATGTGACTTGAAGTTGCGCTGTAGTGGAAGATGCTTGGGAGGAGTCTGGGTTGGATGTCTTTAAAGATTTTTCCAAGCAGTCGAGTAGTTGAATTAATTTAGTACTAATTAGAATAATTTGGAATAATTTGATCATCATAGGTTGGAATCATTTGAATACTCATAACATTTGAATAGAGATCATGGTACCTGATTTATGTTTTCACGTCCGTTGAAAGTACTAAGCAAGCCTTATATTAGGTTTTCACACTTCCAACCTTTCCGAAACGACTTTTGTGAGGAGTTTGGGGCCCATGGCACCCCATTCTTGCGGTTGAAAGTTGTTGGCGATGGATTCCAATGCCAGTCTCGGAAGCCAGTGATGCGAGGTAGCGAGTCCGATAACTCCAGCTCCCAGCCACTGGTTCGACTCCAAGCCCACGAAGTTGAGGGCCGCGAACGAGGGGGGCGTCAGGGGACGGATGGAAATGGAGTCTGTATCCATGTATACTCCACCGTAGTGGTACAGAATCAGCCATCTGCACATTAATATTGTCTCATTAAAGTCATCCTTGAATTTATAAATTTGAACGAAAGTGTAATTTGAGTAGCATTAAAGAAATTATGCAATTGTATCTGATGGTAGTTCCTAGGGAGATTTACAGTCCAGACAAAATTAGAAAATTTTGCCACATCCATGATTAAAATGAAATAATCATGTAGCTTTTTTTTCAACAGATTTTTTGTGATCAAGAAAACCACTTTTGATTCAACAGCCATGTTATTGTTAACTAATTAATTAAGGGTCATGAGTGAGTGCCACGTCCACTTAATCTATTAAATGAGTTTTATTAAGGCAGTAAAACGGTCTAATGATAAATAATGATGGATACAATTAACAATTATATGCCAACGTGCAAATGATATTATTATCTGCATAAACGCACTATTTGAAAAACAATAGATCGCCAGTAAATACTCTAATAAAGAAAGCCCTCCACGATTAATATCCACTTAGTACCATCCTATCATATACATCCCACTATACAGTACTGAAGCTCACATCATTAGAGTCCTGCACAACTGAACGTTGAGCTACAAAGGCCTTTTATTTAGTCATTTAATTCTCCATTCAATAAAGCGTTCAAGAAAGCTCCGTTCAATATGATGAATAATTGGTAATTTAGCTCATCAGGTAGGAGAGTATTATGTACCTGACGGCATCGTTGAAATGAGAGACCGGCCAAGAACTCTGCTGCCACCTCCTCTGTTCGTACCAGGTCTTCAGCGGGGACTTCTTGAAGAGCTCTTCTTGGTCCAACGTCACCACGCGTAAGTTGATAAAAGCGTCCAAGAGTTGCACGATTTCTGGCGTCCATAGAAGTTTGGTAGATTTCATGTGCACGATCACTGAACTATTGGGATTGGCTACACACGCGGACTCGATGGCACACAACATTCTGTTCGAGTAAGTCGTGTGGCCATAGCCTTCGAGGAAGTGTATTACGGGACCGTTTGGTTGTTCCAGAGCCAACGAGGCGCTGTACGGCAACAGCTCCAAGAAGATTTCAGACGCGAATTCAGTATCGTTTGGGTTAATTTTCCAATTTACACCATTGTTTATCTGTGAACTAAGTAGCAAAAATACGGATACTATTCCCACTAGAGTCATAAGTATCTTAGGAAACGAATGGAAGCGCCTCATGTTGGAGGGTCCGAGGCGCTGGCTCATGAGTCCGAGTCTGATGCCTACTGTCTCAAAAATCAAAATTTAGTTTCTATTCCAGACGTATAAAAAATGCATTGTGTTAATTATGCTAATCATTTTCTGCACGGAACATCTTTTTGTCTATACCGGAGGAACTGCACGGCGTTAGAGACTTGCCGAAAATCACTCTTCCCTTACTCGTCGGTGGGCGGTGGAAAGGTCTTGGTTGGAGGTAAAATGGACAATGGTCACTTTCCGATGGCGGTGGAGAGTACAATAGCTAAAGCAACCTCAACAATGGCTAAAGCAATCTATCTCCAACCTTTAACACCACTGTGATTACTCTATCCAAATACCGGAATTCGGAAGTGAAGCTTTGCCAAAAACTCAGAACGGGCGTCGACATATTCTAAAGTACTTGTAGGTCAATGTAAATTTTTTGGTTGCCTGTACTGACAAATCAAGCTTCCTTGAATATACGGAGAATGCAGTCCTCACCGAAGACTGAACTTATTGGAGGTAGATATTAGTAGCTTTGTACTGTTGTACAAAATTAAAAGGTTAAATGAAAAAAAGGCTTGTGTTCTGAAACGTCGGGAGATTCATAACAGAGGATAGCTCAACTCGGAATCTCTCAACTATTCACTCCGTCGCAACTAAATGAACTGTAAGAATTTTAAAGTCAAAACTAATCCTTGCAAAGACCACATGCCGTTAATCGTGTCAACAGCCAAAGCTTGTCTCAACACAGGCTCACCCTGCACGTTTCACCATCACAGGGCAGACTAGCGTAGAGCTGCTAAAGTACAGACCCAAGTTCTTATCACCTGAGCATTCCGAGCCTAATACTGATAAGATGATAAACGTCATAGTTGTCTTAGATAACTGATAAGTCCACGTTGCCGAGGAGGGTGAGCTGGCATGAAACTTGCGAATGAACGATGAGTTCAGGCGTCTTAACCGAGAAAGTATCGTTAATATTTACCCATTTATGCAGTTTATCTTACGTAACTACAATATCATTAATGGTAAAGTAGGGGATAAGGAGGAAGCAAACCGTTAATCTGCTCATATGAATATTCTGTTCACAGGCGTCATATTTTGAGCGTACGGCAACATGGGCTGCTAATAATACATATATTAGCTACGTCACAATTACGTGTTTATACCAGTGCCCGTTTGAGAGAAATTAGACGGTTTCAAATTCCATAGTCGCAATCATCAGATAATTTAATTATTATTAAATTATCGCAATTCCATAATTCCAAGTCGCAATTATCCAGAAAATTAACAATTTAACTTGTGAACAGCTTATGACACAAGCCTCCTGCTGGTTCCATTCGGGCCCTATAATTTCATTTTTATTTTTATATCATCAGTATATTGTGCTTCAATATCGAAAAGATAATGCAGGCATTAAATGAATTCAACCCTTATCAAGAATTTAACCTTTATTGAAAATTTAATACAACAACTTAAAATATGTGCGCGATAAAACACTCTGTCCTCTTTATGTCACATATTTGCATGTAAATTCTTTTAAACTTCTAAAACATCGTAAGCTGCTGCGATGGTAGTAACAACTAGCCTGCAATTGGTCTGAATTTTTGAGCAACAGTATTTAGCTTGCAAATGGTAGGCAAATGGGAGCCGTACTATCAAAATTTGCATATGTACACTATATGTAGCAAAAATTGAAAAAACACTATATTGGCCTAGGTACACGTAGCAGCCAAAGTACACATAGCGGCTAATTTCTCGTTCGTGATTGGTGAGCATCTCTTCAAAACCCGTCAGTTACGAATGACGGAAATACGAATTCTCAATTTTTTTCGATAGTACGGCCCCCGTATTTTGATAATACGGGCCATGCTTTGTAGCAGGTAAAGCACAACATACGCGCATGCGCCAACAACATATAAATATTCATAAACTTAAACACGTACGACTCTACAAGGTTGATGGAAGCATAAATATAAACTAATCTTGTACGCTAATTCACACTGTCAATGTAAGTGAACAATAAAATTAGCCATCGAAAGATTCAGAATTAATAGAAATATCTAAGCCTTGACTACGCTAAATTAAATATCCGCTTTCTTCAGTAACGCCGAGATATATCTAGGGTATACAAGTAAAAGTGAATGTTACGCGCAAATACATGTGGAGCGTGCGGTCTTTTTAACGCATTTTCTCGTTTATTGAAAAAGGCGCCATTAATTGTGCTTATCATGTCCGTCCGTCCGTGACATTGTGCTCGTCATGTCTGTCCGTTCGTCCGTCACGGACGGACGGACGTGAGAAAATGCGCTCTCTGTCACTCCCTGCAGTGAGTACTGATCTATTTTTTTGTTGGTAGATTGTTACGAAAAATGAGGTAATTCCGTAAAAATAATTTCATTGGGAAAACTCTACGAAACTTATTTATTATAATGAGCATTTTTGCGCGGTTATCGCTACTTCGCATACTAGAGATATAATTACGTAAGACGCTATAACCATTAAGTATAGTTGGTTATGAAGCAGTCAGGATAGATTCAAAATCGTTGGATAACATTGTTGTGCCAGATTTGAGCGATGTTTTCCATGCATTACTCGTTGATGTACGAAAGAAGGAACTTACGAACCGTGGATTCTTTGCGAGTAATTATATATTATTGTTTTCTCACAAAAGTTTTTCATTATCACGATTTTCTTCGCAGAGAATTGTCAATAAATTTTTTTTCATTCAACTTGAATGCATTAATGACGATGGAAATTCTTCAAACAAATAAAATGACATGAGCAATGGGCAACCTCTATAAGGTAAATTAGCCTATATTTTGAGTTCACGCATTCAAAGTAACCTTCCCCAAAAGCATTAGGATATTAATCAGTTACAGTAGCTCAATTATATAGCAGATTCAACTTGTTAAGGTAGAAGTAATCCGGGTGGGTGTTGTAGCTAATTTACTAATTGTTCTCAGGAAATAAGTTAGCTATTAAGAATTCAATGACAACGAAACAGCTTACCAAAGCTCGGGTTGGATAAATCCACAGTGGTCTTGCACTAAAAATGTTGCCATGTGGTCTTATGTGGTCTTGTGTCGTAAACCATGTCATAAATTCTCTTTGGAGTCATAACAAGACCGTCGTATCTCTGTTGTTAATTCAGTTTACGTCATAACCAGACCACCGTATCTCTGTTGTTAAACCAGATGACGTCATAACCAGACCGCCTTATCTCTGTTGTTAATCCAGATGACATCATAACCATGTTGTCGTATCTCTGTTGTTAATCCAGATGACATCATAACCATGCCGTCGTATCTCTGTTGTTAATTCAGAATGAAGTCATAACCAGACCGTCGTATCTCTCTTGTTAATCAAGATGACATCATAACCAGACCGCCGTATCTCTGTTGTTAATCCACTTTACATCACAACCAAACCACCGTATCTCTGTTGTTAATCCAGTTTACGTCACAACCAGACCACCCTATCTCTGTTGTTAATTCAGATAACATCATAACCAGACCGCCGTATCTCTCTCGTAATTTCACCACTCATTCATCACCAGTCCAGGTCTGAGGAGGCCACGGACTCGGCGGTGGGGGAGTTGGGTGAGTAGAACTGACGGTACCAGGTGCGGAATTTCTTGATGAGTTTGTCCTCGGCGACGAGCAGCGGCCGGCTCATGTACTGCTTGCTGTTCCAGATCATAATGTCGCGCTCCAGCTGCACAAGTCACAAGAACTATTAGGCATAGTTGCGGAGACAGAACGGAGAAGATCTGTTACTTTAAAATAAAAAATAGATCAGTACCCCCTGCAGTGAGTGACAGAGAGCGCATTTTCTCGTGCTTAGCGCATTTTCTCATTTATGGAAAAAATGCACTATTGTACTCTCCATGTCCGTCTGTCTGTCCGTCCGTGACATCGTTTTCGTCGACGAGAAAATGCGCTCTCTGTCACTCACTGCAGTGAGTACTGAGTTATATTTTTTCCATAAATGAGAAAATGCGCTAAAAAGAGTTAGGCGAGCTCGCAACTTCGTCCGTATGCCACTCACTGGCGACTTTTCGAGCTAAGCTCACTAATCAAAAGCAAAAAATCGAGAGGTGTAAAAAGTAAATCAAATGAATGGATTTTCGCATTTCTTTAGGCATTCACCTTTGTTTCATAAAGCATGAATAAGCCATTTGTAATAATTTGGTGGCAACCTCGACACCAGCTTGGCTTTTATTAAAAAAATATAACTCATGCAGTACTCACGGCAGTGAGTGACAGAGAGCGCATTTTCTCGTCGACGAAAACTTGAGGTCACGGACGGACAGACAGACAGACAGACAGACAGACAGACAGACGGACATGGCGAGCACAATAGTGCATTTTTTCCATAAATGAGAAAATGCGCTAAAAATATCGCTACAGATATTCGAAGCCACTTGCCCCTTGTCAGCAGCTGAATATATGTATATTATATACTTGTACAACAACGGCAGTAATGACTGACTCAGAATTTCTTGACAAGAATATAAATTGAAGCATTGGATCGAGTCAAATCGATATCAGCGTCGAAAAAAATATCATGAGTTTTGTAGTTGATATAAAAAAATCCGCTTTGAAACGGATGATGAACCTACATCTGTGCAAAAACGGAAAAAGATATTAATCTCATAAAGATATAAATATCTTAAAGATATTAATATCATAGAGATAATAATCTCATAAAGATACTAGTATCATAAAGATATTAACTCATATTTATCACTTTGTATACCAGCATGAAAATCAAACGCACATGACAAGCTTCCGAGTGCAGTACGAATTTAGCGAATGGGGCTACGAAGGTGGGGGCGGAGTAGAGGTGGTGGACGATCTTCTGCTTGAGGGGCGCCAGCGGCGTGACGGTCTGTACCAGGACACCTTTACCCAGCGTCGTGTTGAGGTGAAGGTGAACCAAACCCGGCCCGATCTGGGGGAATGTGGGTGACCAGTTAATTAATGGAACTATTTAATACATTTATTTTTAAAATTAACTTCTAGAATTAAAGTTTTAACATTCTATCGGGTGAGTGATGGACATGTGTGTTGTGCGCAAGCATGAAGGAACATGAACACAATAGGCTGCTACTCACACTCATCACCACTCGAGATGATACAATTAAATTTGGCGGGTAATCAAAAGTATGATGGGTGCATCGTTTACCTGCAAAGCTTGGACGGTCATTTTGAATAATCTTAACCCCCCAGGCTTAAGGTTGAAGGCGTGTTCGATGTTGACGGTGGCCACGTGCGAGTCTTCCCCCTCCATGGGGCTCCAGACCCCACGCCACTCGTGTTTGGCCACGTCCAGGAACTGGGGATGCAGGTGGGTTAGAAATTTGGAGGACAAGTTAACACATTTGGGGGTAGGTTTGAAAATTAGATGGGAGGCCTACAAATCAGGAAGGAGGTCTAAAAATAGAGGTTTTGTTTACAAATTAGTAGGTTGGTTTGATAACTATAGATGGAAAGTTTACAAATTAGGAAATAGATTTATTATTTGTGGGATAGGTTTACAAATTCGGGTATGTTTGCAAATTGTAGGGTTAGTTTGCACGTTGTGGAGTAAGTTTATAAGTGAAGGGAAGGTTTAATTAGGAGGTAGGTGCACGCATTGATACGGAAGTTATTCTCGAAACGTTGCCAGACAGCACCAGCTCGTTGTTCTCACCGTGTTGCTGGAGGATACCTAAACGTTGTTCTCACCGTGTTGCTGGAGAACACCAGCACGTTGTTCTCACCGTGTTGCTGGAGAACACCTGCACGTTGTTCTCACCGTGTTGCTGGAGAACACCAGCACGTTGTTCTCACCGTGTTGCTGGAGAACACCNACTCGTCCGTGGCTCTACCTCCAGTCGTCCGTAACTCTTGTCAGTCGTCCGTAACCCTACCGTCAGTCCTCCGTGGCTCTACCTCCAGTCGTCCGTAACTAGTGCCAGTCGTCCGTAACCCTACCGTCAGTCGTCCGTAACTCTACCGTCAGTCGACCGTAACTCAAGTGCCTGTCGTCCGTAACTCTACCGTCAGTCGTCCGTGGCTCTACCTCCAGTCGTCCGTAACTAGTGTCAGTCGTCCGTAACCTTACCGTCAGTCTTCCATAACTGCACCGTCAGTCGTCTGGGATTCTCCCGTCGGCTAACTGCATTCCTTCATCGGATCTTGCCTTGTTCCTAAGTTAAATTGTCAATTCGTTTATATTTCATTAAAGTTGTTGTGTGATGCGTCCATTATTACCCACCGGTTCGACTGATGCCGTTTAGCCTCATTGATACCCTTACACCGTGTTGCTGGAGAACACCAGCACGTTGTTCTCACCGTGTAGCTGGAGAACACCAGCACGTTGTTCTCACCGTGTTGCTGGACAACACCAGCACATTGTTCTCACCATGTTGCTGGAGATCACCAGCACGTTGTTCTCACCATGTTGCTGGAGAACACCAGCACGTTGTTCTCACCGTGTTGCTGGAGAACACTGAGAACAGGTCTGCCCCCTTGAAGACGCTGGGTACGTGGAGGTGGCCGAGGTGGGCGATGTCAGCGCCGTTCTCAGGGATCTCCTGGAGGGCAGCGAGGCATTGTTAGGGCCCTCGCATGGGCTTAGAGAACGTCGCAAGTTTTATAATACAAATGCAATGATAAAAATTTATTATATAGTACAAGTACAATGATAAACAATTATTATTAGTACAAGTACAATGATAAACAATTATTATATAGTACAAATACAATGATAAACAATTATTATATAGTACAAGTACAATAATAAACTATTATTATATAGTACAAGTACAATGATAAACAATAATTCTTATATAGCACAGATACAATGTTACCCACTTAATTATTAAATAGTACAATGAACAGCGAAAACATTATGAGGTACATAAAAATAGGTACTGGAAAACCTAATAAACAGTGTAAATTGTGCCAAAGAATGGTAACGGTAAAAATGGTCCTCATGATAACGTTAAAGTCATTCCAAAACTATAAAGTAATTATATCCCTGGCTTCTGAAAATGTTTTCTTTCTCTGTGAACCTGAAGAAACTTTGATGGTTCTTTTCTGATGAACTTCGCACTAGATGCCCAGCATTCATTTCCATTTCCAAATTAACTTTTGTATGTCAGAAACCGTGAAAAAGGCATCAGTCTTACTCATGCTTCAAGTATCATAATTGAGGTAATAGTAATTGACTTCGGACTAACAAATGACTAATCGAAAATCAATGCCCGCCTCTCTGATGCAAGCAGTTCATGTCTAATGAACTGCTCACATTTATTGTGATACAAAATTACGCACTGCTTATTACCCTCAAAAGTACCCTCACAATTACCCTCACAATTGGCCCCACAATTTACCTTACAATTACCCTCACAATTACCCTCACAATTACCCTCTCAATTACCCTCTCAATTACCCTCTCAATTATCCTCCCTGTTACTAGTAATAACCCTCACTGTTACCCTCGCAATCACCTGTATGTGAGCCAGCACCTCGTGCTCCGTCCGCCCTCTGTAGCGCCACTCTCTCGTCGCCACAGCCGCCACTTCAGGCACGCGCCACTGTGGCGGTCTGCCCTCAGCGTCATGCCACACGAAGACGAAGCCGTTCGTCTCCTGCGTCTCCCAGTGACGGACTTTGGCTACGTCGGGGACTGCGGAGGTCGTGGGTGGTGGGTAACGATACATAAAATGGATGATAGAACTTAGCCTTATCCAGTCTTATTTAGCAAGGGGTAACCTAGCCTTATCCAGCATTATTTAGCAAGGGGTAACCTAGCCTTATCCAGCATTATTTAGCAAGGGGTAACCTAGCCTTATCCAGCATTATTTAGCAAGGGTAACATAGCTTTATCCAGCCTTATTTAGCAAGGGGTAACCTAGCCTTATCCAGTTTAGCCCTGCTTGGCCGATCTTAATTAGTCCTGCTTGACCAATTCTAGCCTTTCCCAGTTTGGTCTAACTGGTCCTAACCTAATTCTTTGTCTTTCCTAGCCTGGCCTGACCTAAACCTATACTAACCCTAAGAACTGAAGAGCCGTAGAATGTAAAAGTATCTGTGACATTTTCGCTATTTTCGATATCAGACCATATTTGAACATAACCACACTGAAATATTAAAATAGAGACTCTAATAAATACATTTTAACAAAATATCGAGTCCGCCCTCTGTAGCGCCATTCCCTCGTCGCCACAGCCGCCACTTCAGGCACTCGCCACTGTGGCGGTCTGCCCTCAGCGTCATGCCACACGAAGACGAAGCCGTTCGTCTCCTGGGTTTCCCAGTGACGGACTTTGGCTACGTCGGGAACTGCCGAGGTCGTGGGTAATGAAATACAAAATGGATGATGAAACTTAGGCTAATCCAGCCTTATTTAGCAATGGCTAACCTAGACTATTCCAGCCTTTTTTTGCAAGGATAACCTAGCCTTATCCAGAATTATTTAGCAAGGGTAACCTAGCCTTATCCAGCATTATTTAGCAAGGGTAACCTAGCCTTATCAGCATTATTTAGCAAGGGTAACTTAGAAAAATCCAGCCTTATTTAGCAAGGACTAACATAGCCTAATTCAGCCTTATTTAGCAGGGGCTAACCTAGCCTGTTCCAGCCGTACATAGCATGGCCTAACCTAGCCTTATCCAGCCTTATTTAGCAGGGGCTAACCTGGCCTTATCCAACCTTATTTAGCAAGGGCTAGCCTAGCCTAATCCGGCATTATTTATTAAGGGGTGAGCTCTCACCCAGCCTATTCCAGCCTTTCCTAGCTTGGCCTAACTGGCCCTAACCTAATTTCTTGTCTTCCCTAGCCTGGCCTAACCTAAACCTAGACTAACTCTAAGAACTAAAGAGCCTTAAGATGCAAAAGTATTACATTTACATTTAATACATTTAAGTATTACCAAGTATTTTAATTACTTTGATATTTTCTCTATTCTCGATTTCAGATAACAGTTGAACATAACCACATTGGAACATTAAAATAGAGATTCTAATAAATACATTTAACAAAATATCATACATTTATCCATTCATGAAATTAATGAAATTAAGCCTGCGTGCAAAAATGGAAATACTCTTACTTTTTTTAGCGTAAGGTATGACTGTGCAGGCGCCATCTTGCCCCCGGAACTGCCAGCCGTGGAAGGGGCACTCAAGGCAGTCCCCCTTCACGGCGCCCCCCACCGCCATGTCCGCCCCCAGGTGGGGGCAGTGGGCGTCCAGCGCCCACACAGCGCCCCCCGCTCCCCGGTACACCGCTAACGTCTGCCCCAACGCCTGCACCTGACGCACCTGTGCCGGGGGTTAGGGTGTTACTTAGCGGTGTAATATTACGTTACGTACGTTACGTCACGTTACGTTACGTTACGTACGTTACGTCACGTTACGTTACGTTACGTTGCGTTACGTTGCGTTACGTTGCGTGAAGTCACGTTACGTTACGCTACATTATTCTACTTTACGTTACGTTACTTTACGTTATGCTACGTTACATTACGTTATGTTACGGTGAAGCGTTACATTTCGATGGTAAGCGACTTAACGACAGTAGTTTTAGATACACTTTTGCATAACGTTAACATTCCGAGTGAAGTTTATCGATAATATCAGGAAAATATTCCATGGGGTTTCATTACGTTGCGAATTTCTTGCGCACATGCTTTATTTCAACGACAACGTTTCGTCGTCCTCTACTTAAATCGCGTCATCTTTTAAGTCATGATTAGTTATATGAACAAACGTAAATTAAAGCCTTGATATCGATAGTGCACACAAACTTACAAATGACGTACAAAAAAATAACGTAAGAAATAGAACAAATGACGTGCAAAATGAAGAAAACTGAACGAAATCACGTCGCATGTTCAGTCGCTCGTATGTAGAATATTCAGGCATTATAACAACCTGCTGCTTCCAAACCTCCGGCACCGCCCTAAGCAACCAGGCATGTGGCGTTGTTGAAATTGATTCAACACCAGGTGTTATTTCAACACCAGGCACGTTGAAAAAACATTGATTAGAAGATGTTTCATCAACATTAACTCGCAACAAACGTTTATTTTCCTGTCATTAGACTTTGTTTCACTGTCATTAGACGTTGTTTCACTGTCATTAGACGTTGTTTCACCAACATTTACTCGCAACAAACGTTTGTTTCTCTGTCATTAGATGTTGTTTCATCAAAATTTTCTCGTAACAAACGTTTGTTTCACTGTCATTAGACGTTGTTTCTTTGTCATTAGACGTTGTTTCACTGTCATTAAACGTTGTTTCACCAACATATAGTCGCAACAAACGTTTATTCCACTATAATTGGCCAGTATAGCACCCACCTGACCAGGCTTCAGTGCTCGGCTCTCAGCGACAGCAAACCAGCCGTTGGGGTACACAGGAGGCAGGCTCCCTGCCCGCCGCAGCTGCTCGAGTCTACGGACGCTCGCCGCCACATCTCGCCCGCGCGGCTTGCGATGTCCCCCGAATATTTTAGACCAGAAACTTTGGTTCTTGTCGTTTATCAGGAAACTCCAGCCGACATCAGCCGCTCTCTGAAATACGGGGTGGTTAAAGAAACCGCTCTCTGAAATAAAGAAACCGTCGTTTGAAGAAATCGTCCTCATTTCTAATAATAAGCTGAAGCAGTAGAGCAAGAGTTCGCCTAGCTGTACTGTGGTGTAATTAGTAGTAATTCGTTTATTAGTTGTGATAGTTGCCGAATGTTCATTAATTTTGGTAAGGATTTATTATATTTTATTCGTTTATAGTTAATTTAGGTTATTAATTAATTATTTATTTCATATGAATATTCTATAATTATATAGTTTTCTAGGTTCTTCTACTATGATTTTGTGTCTGTTTCCAGAAACTCGTGAATAAGTAATGCGAAACCGTGTCTTCTTTAACTGACTTCTACGAACCTAAAGAATTAGCATAAAATATTCTTTACATGGAAATATATCTTTGTTATGAGGAAGCTTTGGAAGGTAATTAGTCTAAGCTGTGTAAAAGGTGTCAGCTATCCGGTGGATATATAACCTTACGTCAGCGCGCAAGCTTAATTAAAGCGCAGAATGAACAATGATTGACGGCACATTGTTTTTAAAAACATTACATGCAACAAAACAAGCAAGCTAAAAAGTCAGCGTCTGCGTCTGAACAGTTAAAAGCAAAAAAACCCTCCTGCACAACAAAAACTACCTGACAACCATCATAATTAACCAACACGTTCATCTTAACCAGATACGAAAATTCACAATTTTTAGGATTCGACTGTCATTTTTTGCGTCACTTTAGGATGGCTTTCAAGTAGAGGTTTCATATAATCTGTTCTGTTATACTCGTATGTTCTGTTCAGCTATGTCAAGCAGAAGAAACTTCTATTATTACGATAATGGCCGCATATAAGACACTTTTTAATGATGGATATACATTAAATTTCCGGTGGATTACATGTGCCCAAGCAATATACTGTAAGTTTGGAGCGATCCCAGTTTAGGAGATGATGCAGGAAAAGTATTTACCAATGTATATAAAACCAGACGAATAATTGTAGTAATTGTACGAGTATACGTAACTGATACGTAAGTAATTGTTAGGAGCATACGTAAAGGATATGTAATTTGAGTAATTGTACACGTAAAGGATACTTGAGTAATTGTACGAGTATATTTAAAAGATACGTAAGTAATTTTACGATTAAACGTAATGGATACGTAAGTAATTGTACGAGTTTACGTAGAGGATACGTAAGTAATTGTACGAGCATGCGCAAAGGATACGTAATTTAAGTACTTGTACACGTAAAGGATACGAGGGATAGTACGAGTATACGTGAAGGACACATAACTAGTTGTAAGAGTGTACGTAAAGGATACATGAGTAATTGTACGAGTATACGTAAAGGATGCTTAAGTAATGCTATTTTAATCACAAGAGCCTCATTTTGAGAGCCTCACCTTTACTCTGTCGAGAGGTGTGAAGAGGAGGCTCCATATTTGCTGCACCACCACAATGGTGAGTATGGTGACGCCACACCACATTAGTGTGGTGAAAGTATTGTGGCCGTGTGATGCAAAGATGGTGAATGTATCCATACCTGGCCACACTTGTGGCAGAGCTCTGGACACGTTAGTAACGCTGTCGTCCTGACACAGCCACGACAGAAACATCGTTCCTTTCTGTAATCCTGTATTTTTCACTTTCTTCTACGTACACAATTACCTGCAAAAATTAAAGACGGTTTATTTCAAGTTCATTCATTTAAAAAATAATATAGTAAGTAATGTACTTTTCACTTTCTTCTGCGTACACAATTATCTGCAAAAATTAAAGACGGTTTATTTCAAGTTCATTCATTTAAAAAATAATATAGTAAGTAAGTACTCGAACATTGAACACAACTCGCATGCTGAAGTCTCAAGATAAACTCAGTGGCTGAAGCCTCAACAACAACTCAATGGCTGAAACCTCATGCAAAACTTAGTGGCTGACGCCTCATTAACAACTCAATGGCTGAAGCCTCTAGCAAATTTCAGTGGCTGAAGCCTCAACAACTCAATGTCTGCAGCCTCTGGCAAAACTTGCTGACTGAAGCCTCAACCACAACTCGATGGCTTAAACCTCTGGCAAAACTTAGTGGCTGAAGCCTCAACCAGAACTCGATGGCTTAAACCTCTGGCAAAACTTAGTGGCTGAAGCCTCAACCACAACTCGATAGTTGAAACTTCGGCAATGACGCACTATGATAGCTTCAGGTTCGATAGAACTTTTATAACACTAATTACTCGCTTCAAGAATATCATAGTATCCATTGGTATGGATCCTAATCTCCTGAACATTTTCCTAACCAATGCATTACTACAAGCAACTTTTGTTGATAATGAAACTAATGCTTTGACATTTGGCTGCCTTATTCTGAAAAGAGTTACGGTGCGCAAGTCTTTCGGCCAATCACAATTCAAATATAATATTAAATCTGCAACTGCAGAAAAGGAAATTGTTTTAATCAATATCAGCAACATTGAAATCGTCTTACGAAATTGTCAACGGCGGGGTGGCCGAATGATTTAAATTAGGATCAAAACAATTGGAGCAGTAACTTTTCCGCACTAACACATCGAAAATCGAACTTAATCAAGCAAGGCTTTTCAAACTAATTTCATTTCTATGATCACATTTACAGCAATGTCGTGAATAGTCACGAACCTTCCTGTCCCATTAATTCATACACTGTTACGTTCAGTGTTGCTCTTCACTGCATCAGTTGCACAGTATAACATTCTGCGCAGCTCTTCACTGCATCAGTTGCACAGTATAACATTCTGCGTAGCTCTTCACTGCGTCAGTTGCACAGTATAACGTTCAGTATAATTAATCGCATGCATATGTTATAGACACATAATCCAATCATATAAACGGAGCTAATATCGCGGTCAATGCGTTAGAAAGGCTCTAAAATTATCTTTATTTCCACGAAAGGTGTCTGCCCTTTATTTGAATAATAAGATGTCGCCTGTAGTTATAACGGCAATAAGAGAAAACATTTATGCCTTCACGTATTATTGAGTCGGTGGATTGAACCCCCGATCGAAAATGAAGATTGTAATCGGTGCCTGGTCAAGAAAGCTAAAAAAAACAGGGAGTAAAAGGACAAAGAAAATAAGATCTGCAAAAAAATTTTTATATGCGATGTAAGACATGAATTTTTTGACATGTGCAGCACATTGACTTTATCAATGATCTTCAAGCCACCATGCATGTCGAGTCCAAACATGCACGCAAGAAACAGACCAGAAGCCTGAATTCAAAAATGCACAAGCTAAATGACCAAATCGAAACAATTCTATGATAGCAGATTTGATTAAAAATTGCATAATCAGCGCCTGACCAACATGTCCTAGGATAAGAACTAAAAATTCAGGATGAGACTAAATGCAATTTTCAAAAATATATGCTAAAAAGATATCAATGACTACATTGCTATGCTATGCCTTGAGATGAATTGCCCTATTAGCGCCTGAGCACCATCCAGGAGATCGGGATGCGAAATGGACTATGAATTATTACTTTATATTTTGAAACAAAAGCAGGAATGAATATCAAACGAGTTTCTTTGTGTAACATGTATATAGTACTTTTTTCGGTTTGTTGTTAATTATTTGTTTAAATATTGGATATAACTGTTTTTTATGAGTTTTTCTAGGTACACACCCAGCCGAGGTTCTGTGTCTAGCAGACGCTGGTGATGGCATGCCTGCTACAACGCAGCAGCCTTGAATCGTATCGCGCCTTTATCGTTGCCTTCGCATGAATAAATAACATACCTCATGAAACAATTTACAGTGTCTGGGACTTGATACGTCTTGGTTTCACTTCCTTGAGTGGGTAATATTTTGGAGACACAAAATAAAACTAATGAAGTGTTTGAACACTTAACGCTGCCATTGTCGTTTTAAATACATTGCTCTCTTTTGCACGATAAACGTGAGTTACGCAAAAATTCTCCTACCTTATTGAAAATTCATACGTATAAATTCATTTCAATTATTTATTGGTTATAATAGGTGGTGATGATGAGTGGTGGCAGGCACATTTTCGGTGAGAACAACCCATGGCATATCAATAGCTTAGCGTCATGTCGGGCTCTATAAGGTATGTATACGTAAAATTAAATCTGTATTATATTTACGATGCTGACCAAACATCTTATGATGCTCTACACTAACATTGGGACGTGACTGACGTGTAACCGACAAACAGAACATTATTATTCGAACACACCATTATTATTCGAACAGACCATTATTATTCCAACAGACCATTATTAATCGAACAGAACATTATTATTAGAACACACCATTATTATTCGAACAGACCATTATTAATCGATCAGACCATTATTAATCGAACAGACCATTATTATTAGAACACACCATTATTATTCGAACAGACCATTATTAATCGAACAGACCACTATTAATCGAATAGACCATTATTATTAGAACACACCATTATTATTCGAACAGACCATTATTAATCGAACAGACCATTATTATTCGAACAGACCATTATTATTAGAACACACCATTATTATTCGAACAGACCATTATTATTCCAACAGACCATTATTAATCGAACAGACCATTATTCACGACAACTAAAACGACTAAGCAGCCCGACCCATCCACTAAATGAGTTCAACTTTACCATAGATAGTTACATGCACAAAAGATATCACACATGTCACTATATTACCTACGTTAAGGCGATACACCGCTATTTTTACTGTTGTACCTTCTATGCCAGATATTTTGAAGACTGGGGCAATCAATATCAAAATTTGTAAACATTGGCTGACCGTTTGCTATGTTGTACACGTATCTGATTGGCACTTACTTGATACTTCTTGCTTAAATGACGGTATTTTAAACTAGCTCTTAACTGACAAATTTTTTAAATGATGGTAATTAGGATCATCTCTCATTCGAGATCTTTGTCTTAGTGATGGAAATTAACAATATCTCTTAAATTAGCTCGTTGTTAGTGTGATTGAATTTACGCATAGCTCTTCAATGAGCTAATTATTTAAACGATGGAAGTCACCCAACACCAAGACTAAAGCTAAGGGATTCTCATGACGCACAATAGACAGGAAAATGTCAGGATATTAATCTGAGGCAGGCTACGGATGAGACAATAGGTCTTATGATACATCTTAATACGTTTAGTATACATGCAATAGATACAAATATATAAAAAAAATCTTCATAGAAATAAATGTATATGGGTTTATATATAATATAAAGACAAAATACCGAAGCTGTATACGAAACACATTGTATAGCTTACAACAATGAGGAGGAAGACCTGTGCATTGAGCAGCTCTATTTTACACTCAGAGTAATGAGTTAGACTTTGTCCAAATACCTATGGACATTTGTAGCATAATTGCATGGGTCAACCTTATCTAGGTTTATTAGGCTCTATTGCTTATCAGTGTTGCATGCAAATATTCCTCAATTATTTGAACAGAATGAATAATTAATTATTCTGAGTATATGTTGTGCAGTGTTTCCGCTCCGAATCTTCGGAGCGAACACAATTTGCTGTAATTTTATATTTTTTATCGAATTTTCTTAAATTTACGGGCTTGATGTTGAATGACATTTATTGGTGTTGATCGTGACATTCACGGAGTAATGTTATGAGTACACGCNTTTACTGTAATTTTTCATCCGATTTGCTTGAATTTACAGGCTCGGTGTTAGGTGACATTTATTATGGTAAATCTTGACACTCACGGAGTAATGTTATGAGTACACCCACCGTCTGATGGGTACACGCACGGTGTGATGGGTACACGCACGGTGTGAAAAATTCACTGCTCACTCAGTATACGCGATAATATAAGCGTTATAAAGGTAATAATATAAGCGAATTAACGTAATAATAGAAGCGTATTAAGGTAATAATATAAGCGTATTAAGGTAATAATATAAGCGTATTAACGAAATAATATAAGCGTATTAAGGAAATAATATAAGCGTATTAACGAAATAATATAAGCCTATAATATTTCCTCGTTTACTTATTCTTCTATAATATATATTGGTAATGGCGAACTAATATATTAGAGTTTTGCCTGCACTTTCCGAGAATGGTTCTTGCTGATTCTTATCCTGCTAACTTAATTGGAAGTAAATTTTCCTGACGAAACAAAAAGGGGAGGGAATTATTTATGCATTGTAAATAATTTTACAAATAAAATAACATCGACTTCGGCGGAGACTCTTCTAAGTTGCATTGCCAACAGATTCATCATTGACAATCGCATACAGATTCTCTATTTAACGCTTCCATTTAAAATAATTTAAGTGGAAATATTATTTCTAAACTAAAAAACGACTTACAAAAACATTTTAAGCAATATTTAGACCAATTTCTGCAAACAAACTAAAAGATAATAATACTCTTTGGTGTGGAAAAAGCGACATTTTCTTCCTGACTGCCAGACGTACATATGAACGTCGCAGGCGTCATAATATGTTAAACAATAATGCAAGCTTCCGCACTTCCGCATCCGCCACCCGGAAGCGGACCGACGCACGGGACTGACTGACGTCACGCAAACGTTCCTAAAAACGGAGACAACCGTCAAGCGGACAGGGACTCGGTGTTGCCATGCGCACAGTTGATTACTTACAGTACTCACTTGATTAGGT